GGTTCTCGACAGATGGGACATTTTCTCATACCATGTCCACATGATAGACATGTTACATAATGTGCACAAGGTACAAAAGCAACTGCTCGATGACTTTTCACACAAGATATACAAATATTCGTTGGTAGTATCATCTTTTTGTGTTCGACTGCATCAATATCAATACAATCGGAAGTCCCATCAGATGTTGATTGATAACTATTTTGATTATTCGTACCCATAGAATCGAATTATTCGTAAATAATATTGAAATTAACCTAGTAAACGAAAATTTTGATGAACAATAATAAACGATAAAAATGAATAGTTATTTCTCACAAAATATTTGATGTGTTTGATCAGAGGCAAAAAGAAACGTTTGTCAACTTCAATGTGCAAGAATAACTTATCATTTCTTTTCAACTTGGAAAATTGCTTGGTTTTTTCCAACTTTACATGAAAAATAAACACGCTCTCTTATGAAACCAATCAGAACAAACGCACACAATTAGTTATTTGCGCGACTTTTTTCATCTTTATTTTGTGAAAAGTAGTACAGGGTGATCAGTTTATTTTCAAACGATTTTCGTAGACTTATTCTTCCTCAGCAACTGATTCAGATCTGATGAATCTCATATCAATGTATCCCACAAAGACTGTACATACTGCTCTAATAATCAGATTTTGTATAGAAGAATGTTTTGTGATAAAACACTAGATAATTTTGAAAAGGTCATTTTAACATTTTTTGAGAACAAGCATATTTGCAGGTACCACCAGAAATGAACTTTTTCGATTATTTCTCCATACTATCGTCTTTTGACCTCAGACAAATGTCACAGGTGCATCCACTATTAGTGCATGTATGCTAAGAGTTTCAGCAATAAAGAACGAGAATTCATAGAGAAATCAGGAAGTTTTTCAAATATATAGTTGAAGCGAAACACATTGCAAGGCTTATTCTGTTACTATTTCTGGTTTAATTCAAAACTTTACAAGATGGTTATAGACGCCTGACCTACTCTCACGTGTAGATAATTCTAAAATACAGTTAACTGCTGTTTCAGACTTTAAATTAAACTAGAAATGGTAACAGGATAAGCCTTGCCATATGTTTAGCTTCAACTATATATTTGAAACACTTACTGATTTCTCTATGAATTCTCGTTCTTTATTGTTGAAACTTTTAGCATAGATGCACTAATAGTGGATGTACCTGTGACATATGTCTAAGGTCAAAAGATGATAGTATGGAGGAATAATACGAAATGTTCATTTTAAAAAACTTGAAAATGACCTCTTCAAAATTAGTCCAGTATTTTATTACAAAACATCCTTCTGTACAAAATCTGATTATTAGAGCAGTATGTACAGTCTTTGTGGGATCCATTGATATGAGATTCATCAGATCTGAATCAGTTGCTGAGGAAGAATAAGTCTACGAAAATCGTTCGAAAATAAACTGATCACCCTGTAGATGTATATTACTCTTGTACTTTTGTTTATGTTTAAAAATGAGTCATTGAAACAAGTAATTCAATTTGATACAGCCTACGATCTTTAGGATTGTGATGGGATTAGAGTTTGAGGTTTTTCCAATCTATTTATGTAATTCTCTTTGGTTACTATAATATTCAATCTCGATATTCAGTTATAATACACAAACTTTAAATTTGACTGCATACTATGCAAAGATTATGACAACAAGAATGTCGATGCAGACATTTCCACGTCTATAATCGTGCTAAAAGAGGAGATTTTTTATTAGTTAATAAAAATTTTTCTTTTCTTTTTGAATTACATACGGATCATATTTTTTACATGATAGATAAGAAAAAAGAGTACTTTTGTTGCGCAGCTATTTTCGATGCTTGTACCAAATAATTTTTGTTATGTACATATGAGAATCTATAATAGAGTTATAAGGATCAATATTTGGGGGGGGGGGGGGGGGATTACTTTTACATATTACATTATTCTCATTTTCGAATCTTTTTGGCATAATTTTCATAATATCAATTGATGATCGCCGAACATTTTAGTTTTGTAAAGAAGACATTTTGCTTTACTCGAACAATAACAAAGGCATGAGAAAATGAAAGAAACAAGAATCACAACTCAGTAGTGGATTCGAATATACATTATTGAAAAACAAGGTATTTGATGTATGGTATTATGTAGATTAAACGATAAAGGTTGTTAAGCGATGTAGTTGGTCATTATTTGAAATTAAATGTTTTTACCCATTAGTCATTTCAAGTATCAGGAATCGATTGTCGTTCCACTTTTCACATTTTGACATTAGTTAGCTTGCCCACAGTTTACTCAAAACTTGATATTATCCATTTGCTATAGGCTCATGAACGTAGTGTTGACATGGAAAGCTTCTCATCTTCAACTTGTTTAGCTTGAATTAAATATTAGATGAGAGTCTTTTTTCTTCTTCTTTCGGAAAGAGATAGGGGAAGAATACTAGAATATTACGATTGTCATTTTCCTTTTAGGCGATATTATTTACTTATATGTACAATAGGAGAACTCGTATGATGAAAATATTCCTCTATTAGCATTTCAAAGGCAACGATCTACTATGAATTATTAATCGTTCAATAGCTCATTTTGTAAAAGGAAATGAGCCATTCAACAGGCAAACTCTGCAGATCGAGAATATGGTTTATTGTGAAATGTGGTTCTGTATATATAGATGGAAAACGACGGAAATGTCCATGATGATAAACAAGGTAAGAAAAATCCAATAAGAGTGATAAGAACGAAAGGAAAAGAAAAAGTGAGCGCACTGTTTAAGAAAGACACAGAAATAGAAACATCACGGAGTGAAACTTGGCCACTCCATGACACTTTCAAAGCTCTACAAATTGGTAATATGGCATTGATCTTAATTCGTAGGTCAGTCATTTTAGTGGAACACATCTTGTTTTGGAATGCCACAAATATATCTTTTTTTCAACAGAATTTTGACTGATTATGACCAGAATAATTGAAATTTCTAACAAGACAAATAATACAGTCAAAATTGGCATAGAAAATCAAGGATAACCTATGTATGTCGCAAAATCCTCCAAGTTAAATCTAGGAAATTCTAAACATCCCAGATGCATTAGATTGACATCTAGTTGTCTTAATAGACTCCGACGAAATAAAAAAGAAGGGATATTTGATATTATGCTTTTTGAGCCATAGTTTTTACCGATGTTAATTTGTCTTCAAATTTAATCTGGTTCATAATTGATATGGAAGGTGTTTGATGCAACATATTGCTCAGTTATTTTCTAACTTGAAGAATGAAATATTTTTTAACTTACGGTATATGTCTCATATGCTAGAATAACTACTGAGTTCTCTTGAAATTTAATATTCTCAAAATGGATACTCTGTCTAGGAAAAGAAACGGGTATATGTCATGTTTTCTTAATTCAAATAAGAGCTAGAAACATTTTTTTAAAGCGAACAACATTATTTTGGTGGTTTTGCACCTAATTAAAAACGAATTCTGCGTAAGCTTAATTTTAGTTAAAGGTCAATTTTTCGTAGAATATATATATGTATGTTGATTTATCACTTGAGATAACATAGAAATCAATATAAGTATTTCCCATTGATATCAAATTTTCCAAATAATCTGCTTTTAGTTATTCATAATTATATGTTGAGAGTCACTCTCTAACTCTTAATAATTATTAAATGAAATTTCCATGTATACACCATTGAACAATCGATCGAATAATTCAGTAGTTAAATGACAATGGTCGTCGTATGTAAAAGCAACCCAGATTGAGAAAACAAGCTTGTAAACAACTGATCTATTCTTCATCCTAGGATACTACTGCTCCATTAGTTTTAATCCTTAAGCGTAGATGCTCTTATTTCTTATCGTACATGGTCATTTGGGCCATGGTTGCCATATGGTAAGTATGTTACAGTCTGACAGACAGACACAGATGAATTGCCATCACTCGATCCTATCCTTTCAGTTCAAAAAACTATTTTATTCATAAAAATTGTTCAATAGCAATAGTATACAAAAAATTAAACATTAAACTTTAAGCTGTTCAGTTCAAGTATCTATGTTTTATACACGGTAGTCAAA